TTTTAGTTTTATTCAGATTACTTAAAAGGCACTGCAACATATAAATTTTATTAACTTATTTAATAATAATCATTTCAATGGAATGTTCATTTTTAATTGTGTTTCAGAATAGTTTGTATAGCAACATTCAAACATTATGTGCTGTCAGTCTTTCTGTCAGAAAACTAACTGAGATACCTCCCATATCTTAAATTTCATTTATTTTTAATTGGGAATATTTAGGGGAACTGTTCTTAACGTTGCATTTTTGTTTTATTTTACATTTCATTTCTGTTTTTGCTATAGTTGGCTTTAATGATAAACTCTGCAGTTTATACACATAACCTTGTCCACTCAGTGGAATTTCCAAATAAACAGTTATAAGAATAGTATATTAGTTAACCAGTAATATTACTAAGGTACCTTAGCTGTGGCAGACCCATGATTTAGTCACTTTACTGCTTAATTCCGGATTCTAAGTAACATTTAATTAATCCAACATCTCCTTCCGGTTACTATAAATGAAGTAAAATACAATAGAATACAAAAATAGAATCTTAAGAATCTTGGATGGAGATCCAATGTAGTTCTGAGAAATTTAATGAGAAGCGCAGGATAAGAGCCAGGTTTAATGTAAGAGGAAGTGAGCAGATATGTTGCTGAAATAACTGGCAGAATCTTGGAATCAAGTAAGAGAGGTAGGATAAAACAATGGGTCCCAAAGAAATTTTGTTATTATGGTATTTTGCTAGAAAGTCATGGAACAAATTAAATAAAAAGCTAATGAAGCCGAATTCAGATGAAGTGAGGGCTATAGAAAGATATATAGAAACATAGATGATAACTAGGTAAATGCAGATATCTGGTCCACTTCACTATGGTACATTTTAAAATATTAGTCTTCTTTATTTTATGAAAAATGTTCTTTTTCAAATTGATAATTATTGTCAAGCTTCAAAGTACCTCCACTTTGTTAATCCCTTTTTGACTGCAATACTTTTTTTAGTATATTCTTTCTCCAAATATCTGGGTGGCTTTTTTTAAGCACAGAAGTACAGTATTTTAGGATAAATATTAGAGGCTTCCATTAATTCTGAGCTTAACTGAATTAGTATGAGTACAAGTTTGTGACATCGTAATATAATATGAATGAAGTTTGTTAAAAAGTTTGATTTGCCACATATAAAAGGGAAGCTATCATGTAGATTATATGACATGATTATAATACATATTTATTCTTCAAAACATGCTTGCAGATCTGTTTCCAATATACATCATTTTTTAATTTTTATCCAATAGGGCAATGAGTTTGGTTATACTGGGTTTTTTTTTAACAATAAATAATTCCCACTTTTAACATTCATTGCAATTATAAAGCAATCAAGGACATTGAGATCCTTTTCAAGCACTTCTTCCTTGGTAGTCTTTTTTATGCAGAATAAACAATAACGAATATATTATTTAAAAAATTTAACTTCACGTACTGAAACTTTTAATGTTAAATGTAATTAAGCCAAAGACTGAAATGTTAGTAAGATTTTTCTTAATTGGGGCCATTAACTTTGTGCACACAAATGCAAAGGAAGTTGAATTATGAAGTAAAAATGAGACAATAACTTTCATCGTCTATCTTTGGTCTGTATGTAAGATGTTTTGGTTAAGTTTGCAGGTCAAATGATTGCCCTCCCTCCCCCATGCAAAAGAATAAATCTTACATATAAGAAAATAATCAAAAAGTGAAAGCATATTAGTTGCATAAGCTTTAATCCAGAGTTTGAAATGACACATTCCAATAACATTGGTTTGTAGACTAGTTCACTACAGTATTGGGGCATCAGTGTGGATATATCTCAGTCAAAAACACAAGACTGAAAACTGCAATTAATAACATAAACCTTTTGAAAGAGGTCTATGGAAGAAGCAAAATAAAGAATTTGCAAGTGAAAAACTATTGATGGCATAGATGAGCTATTTAGTCAAAATGTCAAATGGCTTCAGAAGCCAAGAGGTTAGGCAACCAAATATATTTCCATTGTGTCTAGTTTAAGATCACTTTGCAAGAACAAATATCCCCAGTGTTAACAGGCTAATAGGATGATGAAATATGAATAGAAATACAGTATAAAGAGACAAAGGAATGCCTGTGGATCCATCGCTATCAGATGTATCCTGGATGATAAAACAGAATTGGCTCTGGCTTGTACTTATATGGGAATTCCAGGGCTGAAAGCTAGTTTGAGAAATTAAAGGACATCCTAGAAGAAAATAACCGTAAAGAACTTCTGTAATTTTGCCAAGAAAATTGAACGATGCTGTCAGCAGGTTGAATTTGACATGAGGCTATCTTTATATAGAATTGTCTTTTTACAAAAGCTGATTCTCCATTATGTTTATCCTCAATTCAGGCCTATCACCAGATACATGTATATGCATGTGTGTGAGAAGGGATGTGTGTGAAAGAAGAGATCTGCATATTTACAAACCTGGCTGATTTGAATATGAACACCACCTTATAACAACTTTGCAATTTGCCACTTCTAGTAGAAGTTGTTTTTCAGGAGCAGGTACAGCATAGCCCAATTTGGAATTGGGTGTTCCTGACTTCTTTAAATCAGCTGCTATCCTGGTGGGAGGGAGGAATTGAATGAACTTATTATGATTCTAGTATGCTTATATCACAAAAGAAATAAGTATTCTAACCTTGTTACATGTGCTTCAAAAAACAAAAAACCCTGGAATTTGTATAGCACAAGTTAAAGGAGAATGAAGGGAAAATGACAACAGAACCATATAATGTTAAATGCTACTTAAAGATAAAGTACAGTAGCATGAAAACTACATTTATAGCTATGATAGGCCTTCAGGTTTGAAGAAGACATACTGCTGTACCATTTGTGGATACGGAGGTGGTTCTAGAGTCCCAATCTGGAAGACCAGAATTCAGCCCAATGGGAGCACTACAATGCCATTGTTGTGGTAATTGGACATTATTTTATGATGCTGCTCATGGTTTTCTATCAGTTTTTGGTAATGCCTGACTTGAAAGCTGGCCAACAAGTTCCATCGGCATTTGTAGCTTCTAGTTCCCTTGATTGGATATCACAATGATGTAGGGTTTCTTTCACAACATCTTTGTAGCTGTTGCATGGTCAACTTTGAGGTCTCTTCCCAGACTCTAGTTCACCATAGAGCAACTGGCAAAGTGTACATTGGTCATCTATTCTGATGACATGTCCCACCCATTTCATCTGGGCTCTGATAATCAGGGACCCAATGCCCATGGACTCTACATCCCATTTAAGGTATTAGTAGCATGAAAAATATATGCTATTTAAATTAAATATGCAACCACTGTGTAGCATTTGCACAACACATTTTTATCTTGATTCCTCTTTTAAATGAGATATTTTAGAAGCTATTCTACTTGTTCTGACTCTTGCACAGGAACAGGAACATTTATAGCCTATCTAGAATGGGATATTAATTTTTAAACACAGTAATTGATAGTCATTCCTTAATGCCAAATGTTTGAAATGAGGAAGATTTTACAACAACTTTATTAAGTGTGTACAACAAAATTCAGCACAGAAGATCCACTCCGCAGTACACAAAAGTGATATACATACTGTTCCTTCCACCTTTCCCGCAGATTGCTTAGCTTTCTTCACTGTATGCTAAAGAATATAGAATTCATATTAGCAAGCACATGCAAATAACATAAAAATCTCCTCAAACATTTCTTTTTTATAATCAAACCAAATGATTATATAATAGGGTCACTTGTTTAACTATGAACATTATAATTTCAGACTCAATTTTATCTTCTAGTTCAGTTTCCAATATGGGCAATACAGTTGCTTGTGAAGGTTTTTGAATGATGCTTCAATTTCATTCTAGTCTGGGGAAATAGATCAAGGTTCAGGCCACATTTTGGTTAGGTTTTGATTTATCAACCTGGTGCTATGAAATCTGCTAGTTTCTCTTTGTTTCTTGACTTTAATCAAGAGAAGAGCAGATAATAAACTTTATTAATCTTGCAAGCTTATCTACCTTCTTTTCTTTCTCCAGTTGCAGAATGAAGTGTTATTATATGGAAGCTACTTTAATTCTCTTCTTATAAATATTGGAAAAATAGCGAAGAAAGGCTAGTAGTCCCATAACCTAAATCAGACCAACAGACTTTGAGAAGATTAGACATATTGGTATAGATTCAGAAAAGAACAATTAGGATCTAAATCCAATGACAGACTAAAAAAACCCTTGACAAAGTTTAGGAGAATGTTAATACTCTTTATGTATCTGAATGGATGCCCCATAAAAGAACAGGATTTTTATCCCAAAGGACAAGACGCAAAGTCAGGGGGTGGGATTCTACCGGTTTGGACCGGTTCGATAGAACTGGTTGTTATGATTCTCCGTAGTTCAGAGAACCGGGAAATTGGGCCTCTGGTTGGTCCCACCCCTCTCTGCCTGCTTCTCCGCTCCCTGCCCAGTCAGTCCCTATTGCACATGCACAACATCGTGCGCATGTGTGACATGCCTTCAGCCAGCTTTTGCCTGCCCGCCAGGCCAGCCATTGCTGCCTGCCTTTCGCTGTGGCCCTGCCTGATCTGACGATCTCCCTGGGTGAGTGCAATCCCCGGTTGCCTTCCCCTCCACCACTTGCCTCTTGTTTTGCCCCTTCTCCCCCACCACTTGTGTTTTGTCACCGCTGCTGGTTGCCTTTCTCCCCCTCCATCACCACTTGCCTTCAACCAAGGAACACATAGAGAGACTCCTGTTGGCTCCAGCCAAGCCAGCAGCTGCTTCTCTCACTTGCTCCAGCAAGGAGAGTGAGAGAGCCTCTCCTGGCAGAGTGAAAAGCTTGCAAGTCCCCCTCCCATCGGGAAATGGCTCCTGGGAAGCAGAGAAGCAGCCCAGTTGGATCCTGTTTCTCTCTGCTGCCCAGGAGCTGGTTCCCAAAGGGAGGGGGACTTGCAAGCTTTTTGCTCTGCCGGGAGAGGCTCTCCCAGCAAGAGCAAGTGAGAGAAGCAGCCGCTGACCTGGCCGGAGCCAACACGAGTCTCTCCACTGTTCCTTCCAGCTGAGTTAGGCTAACCCTAACCCCAACTGAGCAGCCCTGATCTGCCTGCTCACAAGTAAGCCTGTGCCCAGACCTTGCCATCTCCCCACTGTTCCCTGGCTAGGCTGGCTGGCTTCCCCACCAGTGCGGCTCCATCCCATCAGCGGCGCTAGCTGGGGCCTAGCTAGCTGCCCACCACACACCATCCCCGGGCTCAACTGGCTGGCTTCCTGATCAGCGCGGCCCCATCCCGGCAGTGGTGCTGGCTGGGGCCTAGCTAGCTACTGCCCCCACCATCCTTGGGCTTGGCTGGCTGGCTAAGCCGCCACATGACGCTCCCCCAGCTCTCCTTACCATGTGGTGTCTGCAGCGCAGCGAACGGCAGCAGTGGTGCTATGAATAGTAGGGTAGCAGACCCGGCTGCCTCCCATAAGCAGTGCCATCACTACAGCGCCTCTGCCGCCTCTGTCACCGCCGCCCGCTTCTCCTGGGGCAAAATGAAAGGAAGCTGGTGGAGGCACTGTGGTGACAGCACTGCTTATGGGAGGCAGCCAGATCCGCCGCCATCGCCCGCTTCCTTTCGTTTTGCCCCTGGGAGAAGCTAGTAGCGGTGGTGGTGCTCCGACCAGGAGGGCAGGGACCTGGCTGCCTCTTGTAAGCACTGCCACCCATGGAGGTGCTTTAGGAGGGCTTGGGGGTGCTCCACGACCCCACTGCCGCTGCCGCATGCTACCCGAGGAGGTGCTTTGGGAGGGCTGGGGGTGCTCCACGGACTCACCACTGCCCGCAGAGGTACTTTGGGAAGGCGGGGGTGCTCCACGGCCATGCTGCCACCGCTGCACACTGTCTGCAGAGGTACTTTGGGAGGGCTGGGGGGAGTGCTCCATGGCCCTGCTGCCGGTGCATGCCAACCCCACCCCCCACACACACTTTCTTCCTTTTCCCGCCGCCCGCTGCTGACTGGAGCCTGCCTTATCATTCAGTTCGTCCCAGACCAGGTGTGTGTGTGAGAGAGAGAGAGAGAGAGAGGGAAAGAAAGAAAAGAAAGAAAGGAAGGAAGGAAGGAAGGGAGAGAAAGAAAGAAAAAAGAAATAAAGAAAAAGAAAATAAAGAAAGAAAGAGCAAGAAAAAAAGGAAGGGAGAGAAAGGAAGGAAGGGGGAGAAAGAGCAAGAAAGAGCAAGAAAGAAAGGAAGGGGGAGAAAAAAAGGAAAAGAAAGAAAGGAAAAAAGGAAGGAAGGGAGAGAAAGAGAAAGAGAAAGAAAGGAAGGGAAAGAAAGAATTAGGAAGGTAGAAAGACTGGTGTGTGTGTGAGAGAGAGAGAGAGAGAGAGAGAGAAACAAGAGGAAAAAACGAAGGAAGGGAGAGAAAGAGAAAAAAATGGGAAGAAAGAACAACAAAAAAAAAAGAAATAGGAAGGAAGGGGGGAGAGAAAACTGCTATTATTTTTAATTGTTCCATTATTTATCATATATTAATATTTTACACTGTCCCTACACCTAGAGTGATTTTACTGCCTTTCTTTTGCCTAGAGCTACCACATATTTTTCAGGGTTTACATACATTCAATGTCTATAGTCCAGACTCCAGAGCATAAATACACTTGTGTTTAATACAGTTGAAAGGTACTTTGGAGGCCTCCTAGTCCAGGCAGGAAAGTGGAGGATGCCAAACTCTGAGTAGAGGTCCTGGGAAAGGTGTCAGAATAAAACTTAGAAGGGACCTTGGGGGAACCCTATACCATTTCATAATAAATGAATAAATAATAAATAATAAAGTCAAAAAAAGGTGAACAACATTTTTACAGAACTATAAATAAGTTGAGGCTGGGTGTGACAAGGAATGGCTGGGAGAGGACGGGCCTGGCAGAGCACCCCTTGATGTGAATGACATTAAGTTGCTCACACCCACCCAGTCACATGACCACCAAGCCACGCCCAGCAGTCATGTGACCACCAAACACGCCCAGCCAGCAAGCCATACCTACCCAGTCACATGACCACCAAGCTACACCTGCAAATTAAGCCACACCCACAGAACCGGTTGCTAAGAAATTTGAATCCCACCCCTGCGCAAAACTTAATCAGAGTAGAACCATTGATGTTAGTACAATCCAAGTTACCATGAATAATTTAAATCCCACTGGGTTGAAGAGTGTGGAAATAAAATATATTGTGTGATTATATACAGAATGCAAAGGTAGTGAATATACTGTATGTTTTGACAAAATATGTTGCAATGGTTCCTGATTGTTTTACAGAAAGGATCAAACAAATTATGGATAATATACTTTTAATATATGTGAGAGCTGACAGAATAACAATAACTTAAGTTTAATTTCAGAATCTAGGGAGAGGAAAAGAAAAATGTGATGTAGCTTTCTTTATTAGGCCATTATTATGGGATTCCCATAGGCATCTGGTCACCTTAGAAAACAAACTGCCCAGTTAGATGGACAGGATTCCCTCCTGAAGTCTCTGAACATTTGTTACAGAGATTCCAGGAGGGGAGGAAGCCACTTAGAATGTGTTTTGTACAAGATGTCCATTAATGCTGGAAAAGAATTTTTTTTTTTACCATTAAAGGTGACATAGTATCCCAGGGGATGACAATAGATAAAAGATTGAAGCTTCATTGGAAGTGCTAAATAGGACTGAATAAAACAGAAGAGAAACACAGTTCCTTCAAAGTGAAAAATAACTTGTTTCAACTGAAGTCTTTCAATTATTTGGCCTGTTTATGATTTATACAGCATTCAAGGCCAAGCATACAAGCAATGTAATAAAAATTAGTCAGTGAAAGTTTCCTAGCTATTATTACAAGTCCCAAGGCTTTCCACTGTTTCTCATCTCAGTAGATTAAAAGGTCTTTCTAATGCAGTGCAAGAAGAATAGAATGTGCCCTGTTTCTCTATTTTTAAATGATTGAAAGCAGGTGAATAGTTCACAGTTTACTCATTTTCATGAAGGATTTAAAAGAGTCTAAATTTGAATAACCTAAAGTACAATATGAAAACTATGGTTCTGTTGTGACCTGCTGGCGGCCTGCAGAGCTGGCAGCAGAGTCAGACAGTGGGGAGGAACAGGGGCCGGTCTTGGAGGCCAGGGAAGGCTCAGACCAGGAATCTGCATCGACACAGAGATGGGGCCAGGGAGTTATGTGCTGACTTCGGAGCCTCCAGAATCTGACATCAGCAAGGCAAAGGAACAGAGGGAGCCTGTTCCCAGTGCGCAGAGCTGTCAGAAGGCAAGAACAGTTAAGACAAAAGGGGTGACTCAGGAGTAAGGCTTGGAGGTGATTGGCCCCTCCCATAAGATATGAAAGAGGAGCAAAGGGACATGAGCCTTTGAGGGAAGCAACTTTGTTCTGATCGGTTTGGAGTCTGAAGCTCCGTGTTGACTTTGTGCTCCGTTTGGCCTTGTACAGCTAATTGGCAATTTAGTTGTTGGCAGCATTTCAAGGGAGATAAAGGTGCTTGCTTATCAGCCTTATCCCAAAGGACTGTGGCAGACTTCTTTTGGACTATTCACCAACTGTTTGGGACTCATTACGAGCTGTGAATGAATATAATTCACAGCTGTTGAAATAAAACAAAAGGTTTTTGGGACTAGTGTGTGTTTGTTACTGTCTCAGGAAGCCTTGGTCAGAACAGGTTCAAGCCAAAGACTATGGCTAAAGTAGGGATACGAAAACCACAGCTCACTGTGTTTGGCCTGTCCGTATTCTTTAGTTATTCCTAAAGCTTGCCATAATAATGGAGCATAACTACGGACCCTTATTTTCCTCCTTGAATGTGCATATGGGTTTTTAAGGGGGCACAGTGGTTTAAGCCATCCACTTCTTAAAACTCCTGAACTAAATTAATGCTAGGTGAGCAGAGGAGGGAGGCATAGATGTATACCATTCAGAGTCATTATTGAGATGGGCAACTATAGAAACCAAACAAGTAAAATAAAAGAAGAACCAGTGTTCCTCTCCCTGCTCACTATTTTTCAGAGTTCGTTTTAGATGCAAGTGACATTTTCAGTCCATTACTAATGAGTTGCTTAGGAGCAAAATAGCAGTTTTACTTTGCTTTAACAATAATACTAGTTTCATAGCAAAATATAAATTGACTGCATTCAACAGAGTTGTATATTTATAAATTGCCCTTTGGTAGGAAAGCATATGATTAAACAGCTAGGGCTTATTACATTTTCATTAAAAAAGAAAGCACCTCCACATGGCAGCATTTCCATTTCCCAGTTCCTCACAAAGCAGTTTCAGATTGACCTACTATATATTTGTACTAACCTTGAAAAACCAAGAATACTATGAGTTCATCAGGACTTAGCACTTCTGTTTCAGCTAACCAATAAGAATATGTCACCCAGCCCATGTTCTGCCCTGAGAGCTACCACCATTTAACAAATATCCCTCACCTCTACTACACAAAATACATTGCCAGCACCATGTTTTTAAATAGATTCATTTGCACTTTGCAAAAAATTTGAGTGATAGCAGTGATGGGAATATATTCAAACAAGGCATGGCAATCTTTCAAAGGCTTTCTAGCATGTTGTTGATTATATCTAGCATGCTATTTGCATTTAAAAGCTCTATGTGCTATGAAAGTGACAGAATAGCAAGTCATTACTTTTTCAGAAGTTATTTCCAATACTAAGACCATGATCGCTTTGCATTCTTACAAAGTGAGAAAGGAGAAGAAAAGGAAGAATTCAGCTTCAGGATCTTATGGGTAAAGAGTAATGGGTAGCTTGAACCCAAGAGCAGTAAGTGGTGAAGCAAGATTTCTCATATTTGCAGAATTGCAAAGATTCCAAGGAAAATATTTGCCTTGCTCCAATTTCTGCCTTATGTGATCATTGAAGTATGGAACTAGTCCAAGAGTGTTGCAAAGTATGACTTATGGAGTAAATATGAAATAAACAGGATTTCAAACTAGGAATCTTTGGATAACATTGACTTGCCATTTCAATAGTGTATCAACTTGGAAAAACATTTCATAACTAAAAAGAATAAGTGATTCTTCTGGAGGATAAGCTCTATGTGACTTCTGTTTCTGTTTAAAGATATTTATTATATGTTTTGTTATTCTTAATTAGTCTTCCAGTAGTCCCTCATCAGGCTTTCTCATCTCAGCCACAATTTCATAATTTAAACAGACTATAACACAAATTAGTCCCAAATTGCACCAAGTTTTATATTTCAAATTCCTGAAATAAGATGATTTTCAATGTATAAGCTGAGGCTTTGGGTAATTGTTGGATTAGGAATTTTCTTTGGGCAAAAGAGGTAAATGGAACAGCCAGAATCCATGGAATGGAATTCCATGGCAGGGAAATAAGACAGGCTGCCTTAAGATTCAGGCAAAGAACTGAGAAAGAATTAAGTTCAGCCTCATTATGTAGACCAAACCAAGAAATCAACTCTACAAGAAGGCTCAGTCTACAACATTTTTTATTATCATTGGCTATAGTAGCAGAATCTTGCGAATCTGTCCGTTCTTTACTCTCACCATATTCATGTAAATTAGGCAAGTATCTGTCTGAGTTGCTTAAGCATACTTTCTTGTTTTAGACTAGGTGTGTTTTTGCCCTTGTTGCTTTAGGAACAGACCTGGACAGTATCTCTAGCAAGGTCATCTTCCTTACTGCTCTTATTACAGGTCCTTTTTTTATAACAAAGGAGAATGTTTGTACTCAGGGTTGACTATAAACTGAGAGTCCACCCCATTCCTTACTAGCACTGATGATGTTACCTAGTTTGGGTAATGAAATGTCTGCAATAAAACACCCAGGCTCAGGGAGCACCAGGGACTCCTCTTATGTTTCATTCTGAAGGTTTTTCAAGGGTTTTGGAACCAACGAAAGCAAGAACACCCTGCTGAATGTGTATCCCATGTGCTGAGAAGCTTTTCCCCTGAAGTGTGTATTTGCATGCAGTTTTCTCTGCTTAGTTTTACTGATTTTTGTCTGTTGTGGTGTACAGGTGACAAAAAGGGGGCAGAGCCAGATGATGCAGAATTGCTGAGCCTCAGCAAAAAGCTGGTGGAGACTGCAGTCCTCAAGGCGGTACAGCAGTATCTAGAAGAAACTCAAAACAAAAACATACAAAATGATTGTGGGACCCCAGTGAAAACTGAGGAGGTGGCCATTGGAAATAGCAAAGAAAGTGAGAGTGACATTAGTAGAAAATGACTGTTTTGGAGGCCAAAAAGGCAGGGCTGTAGCACCAACATCCATGTCTCTGCTCCCTACTCTTCAGAGTTGTCCTCGCTGGCATGATGGTTACGGTTTGCTATCAGGTATCTGAACTGAGAACACAGAGCTTTGCAAGAACTAATGTCAATGCTACTGAAAATGATTATTTAAAAAAACACTACTGAACTCTGGGAAAGAAGATAAGCCTGAGAGAGAACAGGACAAGAAGGACGAGAGATGTGATCCACCCAAAGTGCCATCTTTCTTGTGTTCTTGACTACAGAGTTATTTCTCCACTGCTTTCTTTCTGTGCCGCCTGGATGCAAAACGAATGGCCAAAGAAACAGTATCTTGAATTTTGTTCAGCAGAACTAAATAAAGTGTTTTGTTGGAGAAGAAGGCAATCTATTGTATCGAAGAGCAGTCAGTACTGAAATCTTAATGTGAATCACAATTACTGTTACCCAATAGAATGTAACTGGATACTGAACCTCCTATCATGCATCATTTTGAAGTACAATTTTCACACATAAGTTGTATTTTTCTCTGATTAACATTTTTTTTACTTCACAGTAAAAAAAAAATGCATTCAAGCAAAATTATATACTTTCTGCACAATGGCGTATTGTTTAGTAATTTGTTCCATAACATTTTAATCACTATTAATTGTATACAAACGTGTTGTTATTCTTTTTCCTTTAGGGAAGAGCCCTGAAACAGCTCTAGTAAAGGAAGCTTTGCATAGAGAATTGTTGCCTCTGTTGGCCAAAGTGAATCAGATAAGAGAACTTTTATGCAGACCATCAATTCGGATGAAAATATACAAGGAACTGCTTGAACAAGGACAGCTTAGTTGACAACATCTTGGAAAATGTCACTGATCCAACTTCTTTAGTGTCTTAATTTTTAACTGCAAATTATACAGATTAATTTTAAACGAAGATAACTTACATACCCAGTTTGTATTGCTTCTTTTTTAGAGGAAGAGACGTACCTGTATCCAAATAATTGAAAGTGATAGGGAAAAATACCATGTTCCCCCAAAAATAAGACCCAACTGGAAAATGAGCCCCAGCATGATTTTAGAATATTCATAATATAAGCCCTACGCACAAAATAAGCCCCAGTTAAGATTGTCAGCCAGACGGATAGATTTAGAACTGTATTTTCCCAAAAATAAGCCCTAATGCATCTTTTTGAGCAAAAATGAATACAGGACCTGTTCTTATTTTCAGAGGAAACACATGTAGATAATATAATACATAAGGATTCTTTTCTAAGATCCATCCTATTTGGTGAGGAGTGAGGAAATCTGACAGTCAGAAGAAGCCAAGTCTATTGTATTGTAAGTAGGTACATAAAGGACTCTAATGCTACCAATGTGTATCAGTACATGGAAATACAGTGTAATGCTGTAGTATTGATTTGAGAGAAGTCATGATTTGTCATATGACTAATCTCATCCTATGCATTTTATTATTGGCATGGGGAAAGTCGGTGTATAAAACTTAGATGCAAACTTTCATTGCTTAGAGTGGATCATTTAGTACAAACCAAAAACTAAGTTGAGGACAGGTACTGTTTAGAGTGGAATTGCATGCACTGTCTCACATATGAATTATATCATCTCATTACCTTTTTTTTCCCTTACACCAGTTACCATATTGACCAGACCATGACCTCTCTTAGCCCATGTTTATTCTGTAATAAATAATAGAGTGGATTATTTCTATGGCTGTAAACTTTATAACAAGGTTTTGTTAGGTGGCTTTAAACTGTTACCACCTAAGAGAACATTTTTGTATTATCCTCCTGTCTTTTATCTATTGATACTTTGGTTTTGAACTGCTTACTTTTTTAACACACCAAGTTTTAAATCTTATGTACAGATTCTGACATACAATTTTTGCTATTGTTTACATGCAAAACAAGATGGTTTAAAATGTTTTAATATTTATTGTAAAATTGCAGCAGGTCATTTATTTCATCATGTGTTATGAGTATACTAATTTTAAAACAGGGGAAAAAATAGCTTTTGTGAATATAATTTCTGAAATTTCAAAAGGGCTAAAAGTGTGCATGGGCAGGGGGGTTAAGACACATCATATGAATGTTTATACAAAGTGTATTTTCTGAATGCAGGTTTGTGCTTCCAGTAGATACATAAACAGAGTGTGGTATGCTTGTCTCTGTCTTCTACCTTCTAGGCAATTGATGAAAGAAGGAAGTTGATCTCTTCAAATGCCTTAATGGTTCTTTTAATTCTCTTGCTCTTCTTCTATCTTTAAATTCAGCTTTCTGGATGCTTGTTGTTGCTTCTTCCAAGTCCATTCATAGGGGGACATTTCATACTTAAATTAATTGAATTTAGGGCTGCTGCTACTGCTGAAGTTTATATGGAATCTGTCTTTGCAGTAATAGATGTGAGGTTCAGTGCCAACATCTCCATCTCCAGGAAATCAGCAATCCAGAAACTGAATACAGATATACCATGGCCTGAATGTTCCGAAGAGAACACTACCTTTAGGGCTTCACATAAACCTCTGGGAGAGTAAGACCAGAGGGAGAGAGATCTAATCCGACATGCAGATTGACCAAGGAAGGAGGGGGGAAAAGGAAAAATAAGTGTTGTGTACATAGGTCCTGATGCAGATAGGGTTTCAGCATTACAGGTAGTCCTCGACTTACAACCACAATAGAACCTGGAATTTTGGCTGCTAAGTGAAACGTTTGTTGAGTTTTGCTCCATTTGAGGACCTTTCTTGCCACAATTGTTTAAGTGGATCACTGCAATTGTTAATTTAGTGACATGGTTTTTAAGTGAATCTGGTTTCCCCCATCAGCTTTGTTTGACAGAAGGTTGCAAAAGGGGATCACATGTCCCCAGAACACTGCAACCGTCATAAATAGGAGCCGGTTGCCAAGCATCTGAATTTTGATCACGTGACTACCAAGGGATGCCACAGTGTTGTCAATGTAAAAAATGGTCATAAGTCCCTTTTTTTAGCACCGTTGTAACTTTGAATGGTCACTAAATGAACTGTTGTAAGTAAGTCAAGGGCTACCTGTATCAGGGAAGTTTAGGAAGGTAAGCTTCTTCTGGGTACGTAGTTAGGGGGGAAATTAAAATTCATGATAGATAATTAGTTAGCATGTTTATGAAGATGTGTTTCCCTGCATTTTTTTCAGCTGCAGCATTGTCCAGTCTTGTGAGATACACAGGAACCAATAAGAAGCAATGTTTGTAGGAAAAAAGTGACTTTTTCATCTAATTACTTTGTACAATGTCAAATATATTGTATAAGTGTGATGTTTTCCCTGTTTCCAAAGCCAAGATTTTAAATAGCTTTAAAAAAAAAAAACCTGCTTGACACGGCATTAGAAAGAATCAGGATCTTTGCTATGCTCTGTTGACATGATCCCAAGGGTAAAATGGCTGGACAAATAAGATTGATTGGCTAGAATAAAAGTTTTGTGTGTTTTACCTTGATGCCATAAGTGACAGCCAAAGCCAACATGTAAATACACGCATAATAAATCCTTTTATTTCACAAGCTTGAGAACGCAGAGTTCACCAGAACAAATGCCAACTATCTCATTTCACTGTCAGCCCTGTCCGCTTATTTCCTGGACAATTTGAGTTACTCCATTTAAATCACAACAAAGCAGAATCCTTGAGAATATGTACGGAACAACGCTCCATCGGAGTGCCACTGAGAGGCTTTTCATAACACCTTCTGTGTGTGATGCACATATTTTCCACCCTACCCGCCTTCCAAATCCTCCTTTGCTATCACTCCTTTGCCCTGAGAGAAAAGGGGCGAAGCCATATCTTCTCCATTTGAACTGTACCCTGGACAGCCTGCTAGGCAGGAAGATCTATGAATACATTCTTGGCATGCTGCTTTTGTTTTTGTTTTGCTTTTGTTGTTGAGTAATTATGCTGGTCTTTGACAATAATAAAGATTTGACTTGATTTTCATGCCAGTTAAAAAACAACAACGGCGTATAATAACACTTCCTTCTTGGGATGTTTGTTTGCAACATTCCATATGTGTCCTTGACTTGCGACTACAGTTGGACCCAGAATTTATTCAGCTGAGTAAGACATTTGTTAGGTGAATTTTGCCCCATTTTATGACCTTTCTTGCCACAGCTATTCAGTGAATCACTGCGGTTGTTATTAAATGTGAATCTGGCTTCCCCATTGACTTTGTCAGAAGGTCGCCAAAGGTGAACACATGAAACCGGGACTTTGCAACCATCATAAATATGAGTAAGTGGTCAAGCATCCAAATTTTGATCAGGTAACCATGGGAATGCTGCTGCAGCAAACAGTCATAAGAATGAAAAGCAGTCATAAGTCACTTTTTCAGTGATGTAACTTTGGTTGCTAAATGAACTGTTGTAAGTCGCGGACTACCTCAGAAGAAAATGGGCAATCTACACTGAAGGGAAAATGTACCAACTAAGCACCATGCGTTTAACCAGAGAAGCAGCTTTTTATCCTTGGAAGCCTCAGTTGATAGGGGATGCTATCAGATGGGAGGGGGAGGGTCCTATGCTGTCAATCAGAATATATTGTTCAATGATCCTGGCTTTGCTTTTTTCTTAATCAAGAATATTGTCTGCTTTCATATTGGAAGTACTTGGATTCTATTTGCCATAACGTTTTGCGAAGGAGACAAATAGGCTTTATTAAAAGAAAGAAAGAGACTAGTTTGGAAGCATTCTTAATTGTTAGACCTAAGTCATTTCCTCAAATTGTTCAATCCAGCATTGAGCGTGCCCGCAATATTAAAGCAAGCACACTTTATTCTGTATTCTATTTTTGTTGGCACATTGGGTTTCCCCAATGCCTGATAGTGTTATTATATAAATCCTGTTTGATAAATCCGATTCTTGGCCAGTTTAAACATAATAGCCTATGTTGATTACATTGCTATCATAAGTACAATAGGCCAAACTGATCAGAGAGCCTACAACTCTAATATTTGGATTTTTACACATGTTCAGGTATGCTTGAGTAAATCCATACACATATTGGATTAAGAATAAGATCCTGGGTTGAGTTAGAGTTGGGTATGTAGCATTACCCAAAAAATGGGGAAAATGTAAAGAAAGACAGTGTCATATAGAGATGACTCCATCAAATTGTCCTTTGATTTCTAAAAGGCAGTGTGCTATTCAAACATGAATGTTTCATGAAAAGTCAGTGTTTATAACAAGGCTCGTTAAAAAAGCCACTTGGTCATCTAATTTCTGTGAAAGACCTAATAGCGTAGTGGTTTGGCTCCCATTATTCTTTTGATCAAAATATAAAAAAAACAAATCTCATTTATATTCTTCCCATGTTAAAATGTCTTCCTAATAAGAACATTTGTACTACAGGGAAACTGATTCTGCAGAGGCTAAAATGTACTTTCACATCCAAACAATAATTAGAAGCCTGTTGAGGATTTAGAAAAAACATTACTAAAAATTATCTGCACTGAAGAAAGCAGACTATTACAGAAATAATACACTCAAATGTTCCTTTTAACATTTTTTTATATCTTCCATTAGTGGTTTCATTAAATAAAGCTACTATTACATGTCTGCCAACGTTTTGAATGTTTGGAGAGCATATTGATACATATTATGTGTGTAATGTTAATACTTGAAAATCATAATTACACATTGTTCCTCTCTGTAAAAATTAAGCTAAAATTTAAAAATTAAAACCCTTGGAAAAATGAATCTAATATTACGCTTCAAGCTTTTAATTTCAGGGCATTCAGCTATAATTTTATTCTATGTGGTATATATGTGATTATATTAACTGGCTCAAATGTTTGATCCATTGTTTTTTTCCATGTCAAACTGCATATAGAAGACTTTAAAAAATCTCTGAATGTATCTACCTACCCACCCTGACACACAATTCATTAGTGAAAAGGGTGTTCTAATGTAATTTGTTTGCAATATAAAGTTATACATCAAAGATTGCTATTTTTATTTTCCAATTCAATCCACACATGAATGCTTGAAAGGCATAATTAAATATATTTCTGCCTGCAGTTTCTGGTCTCTTGAGAGATTGTTAAAATTGCCCAAGTTAATATTCGACCTGTATATACCCAACATGCTATTTGTTTGCAAGTATTGTAACCAACATGAAAAGTAGGGGAAACAAAGAATGAGAAGCAATGAGCAACAATATTAAATGCAAGAGATGAGAAAAAGAAGTTTAAGTAAATCTAGTTTATACCAAGAACGTTCACTAACTTCTCCATATGTTCCAGCAAACCAAACTTTTTTCACAAGTACTGTGAAATGCTGCTAATTCATATACTTTATATTTCTCACTTTTTGAGGTTGTCATCAACTCCATCTAGCCACGACTTTTTCGTTTTATGCTTTCCTCTTGACCCATTGACTCTACAATCATATACTCTATGTACATGATTGTGCAAAAGAGACTATAACCTACCCCAAAAAGGAACAAAATGACTCAAGCACCCAGATCAGTATAGATCAGGGCTGTCAAACTCCCAGACTGAGGGCCGGATATGTCATGTGTGGGCCACATCCATGCCTAGTTTAGTGAAGGGGGGGTTAAAGTCCTCATACGTCATGTGATGACGTGACAATACGAGTTTGACACCCCTGGCATTGCTTAATTTGAAGTTAACGTCAGACTAACAAATAATTCCCCAATCAAGAAATTGCCAAAGAAGCCAACAGCCAACAGCCCAATCAAAGAATCTAAGACCATCCCCACTCCTACTGATAGGCAAGCTACTAGAACAGGGGTCTCCAAACTTGGCTACTTTAAGACTTGTGGACTTGAACTCCCAGAATTCTGGGAGTTGAAGTCCAAAGTTGCCAAGTTTGAAGACCTCTGCACTATAGAATATAAACTGACAGCAAACAGCACTCCTTACTAGCACTGATGATGTTACCTAGTTTGGGTAATGAAATGTCTGCAAGAAAACAAACTCAGAGAGCACCAAGGGCCCCTCATATACTGTATTTATTTGTGATTCAGTCTTCATTCATATATGATCCAACCTTAGTACATTTCTTTCAAACGGGTCACTCACTTTTGGATTCTGTCCACATCCGATCAGTCCACTCATTCTTGACCCTGTCTCTTGTTTTATCATCATATTTCTTACGTTACATGTTCCCACTGCATGTCAACTTTTATGTTTTTTCCTGCCATATCCAACTTTTATTTCCATGTAAATAACTTACAGAAATTTTAACTTCTTTTGGCAAATATTAGTACTACATTCTACCATTATTTTTCTATCAGCATTTACAGTTAAATCCTCTCCATCTCTTCCCTCTTTAATAAACATTTTACAAAGATACACACATTGATCTAATTTTTCACCATTGATGTGTAGATTATAAGCATTGCTAAATTTTCCTTATCAAGCCTTGACCTTTCAGGCATTATTATTATTTAGATCTGGGCTCTTTATTGTACCATATGATTGAATATACTTTGAGATGTCACCTCTATTCACCTGCATGTCTACACATTTACACCACAAGTATTTTATGAATTCTTAAATATATTTCATAGCAAAAATATATGATGTACCCTCACTTTCTG